ATTTGACTCCATCAATGTTAACATTAATTATAGTCTATATCATATATAGCAATTGTTGTCATTCTTGGTTGGAACACTATATTACTCTTTCAAGAAAATATAATTTTAAAAGTAGACACCAGAATAGGATAGATGTTTCTTGAAACATCCCAGAAGGATTAGTATTTCAAACAGCTATAAAGGAAAATAATTTGCATGATTCCAATTTAATATTATTTATACATTAATCTGACAGGATATAAAATCAATTGCCTAATTATTAGTTAAATTTATAAAATAAATTCTACTGAAAGGTTCTTGATTGTGCCAGATCGTTATGATAATATAATCAAATTTCCTTTCAGACATAATTGTCTGACCAATCTTGTTCCCTGATCCATTTTTTTCTCACTCATGAGATGGGCTTTTTCATTTGTTTTCCTGTTAAAAATAAAAAATAGCAAGTACTGTACATGGCTGTAATTATTTAGTAAATTCTTTCCATGCTAAAAACTGTAAACTAAAACACAAATCTAATAAGTAAAATTGCCATAATTCAGAATGCTGTAAACACAGATCATACTGTAATCAAAAGGAGGTGCCCATGTAGGTATTTACCAACCTGATCCATATGGTAGGGAGAAATCTGTAAGAAGATACAGTTTATCATATCAAGTTTCCTAATTCCTAGCTAGCAAATTCTGCATCCCTCATAAACAGTGAATTACCCTTATAGATGTTTGTCTATTAAATTATCAACTATGTTAGCTATTTTGCTGGAAAACACAGTCTGTTCAGCATCAAATTCAAGAGAAGTGCTCTATCTGCATTTTTGACTCTTCAAAGGACTTAATTGATAGTTTGCTGACATTTTCAAGTAAATTCCTGCTAGGAACAAATAAATTATACTCCTGCAGAACAAACAATCATTGAACATCATCCTTAGCTAGTAGTATTTAGGGCATGTTGCTCTCCTTGGCTTAACTTTTCCAGAAATGATTACTCTAGGACCCATAAAACCCCATGGAGTTCAGAAAAGAAGCTGCTGCTGGTGCCCATATTATTACATATGAGCAGCCTAGGAATCCCTCATATGATTGATGAATTGTAACTGCAAAATGCCATCACTGGGGCCAGAGCTGTTATTATTTTTCATTTCTGTTTGCACTCGAGGGTACCTTGACTTTAAAGAGTAAGTGGCATGCTGACGAAAGCAAGTACACAAGCTGGGCTGCACTGCACAAATTGCTGCTCTTAAGTTTCTGATTTGTAAAATGTATAATAAGCAATAATATGTTTGACAAGTAGCAAAGATATCTGAATTTATACAGCATGTTTTGTGGGAGATGGTCAGTTTGGTGGAAAGATATTGTAGGCTGGTGAATTCTGGTTCATTTGAAAAACTACTTGAAGTTATTTTGACATAACTGAATTTGTGCAAATTGAGAAAATAACAGAAGCAGAAATGAATTATTAGTTGATGCCATTATAACGTTAATCATAAAGTGGACTGGGACCTGTTAAATAAAGATAGATTCAGGTAAACCTACAGGACAAGAAGGAATTGATAGCACGATAATTGTCAGAGACCTAGGGACCTGTGATCTGGGGCAAATTACTTCACCTCTCTGGGTTTCAATCTCTACGATTCTGTAAAGTGTGACTAAGAATAGAGTCTTTGAGGGTTCTTGTGAAGATTCAAAGACATAATGGACCGAAGGATTTTGCCTGATATACAGTAGACAACACATTACTATATTTATTTTATTAGTAGTAGTAGATTTGCTATTGATGGCTTGATTATTATTTGAAATGATATTTGAAAATATTAAAGAATGGTAAGAAGGAAGAATTAATTCTTAAGACCTGCTCACATTATGTTGATGTGCTGGTATTTTTTAAAGTTGCTAGAAATAAGTCAGCCACTGTCTAAAGCTATTTTTTTTTTTTAATTCAGAGATTCTCACTATAGGCTTGTGATATGGTGGTTGACAGTTGGGTGCAGTGCAAAAATCATTAGATTTAGAAAACGAAGACCAGGTTCTACTCTACTTCTGCCACATACAGACCACCCTTGGTTGCAGGCCATTTAACCTCTCTGGACCTTGATTTCCTGAAATAAGAAGGGACTACCTTATTTCCTATGATCAAAATAAGATAATAAGGTTGAAGTGCTTTGAAAAGCAGTCATCTGCTAGAGGTAAATAAGGTGGCCCTATCAGGTAGAATTAGCTGGTTGAATGTGATTGCACCTGCAAAGGCATGAGGGCAAAAGGAAAAAAGCTGGAAGACCAGACAAGGTGACCTCCAGTATATTGCGAGAACCAGGGGTACAAAGAAAGAGAAGTGGAAGTGCTTGTCCGAAGGGAGCTGAGCCATTGCCAGAGAAATGGTGAGAGAGGCTTTCAAAGAAAGCCAACTGGTTTGAATTTGAACAGTGTTTTGAGAAAGGGGGCCAAAATAAAATGCATGAGGTATTCCCATTGCCTGGGGGACTGCGGGGCTGAGAGTGGAGAGAGGCTGGTTGTGTTGTACTTGGTTAATAAAAGAAGTCTGGCCCAGTGTGAGATGAAGTGGGTTTGCATGTGTTTGCCTGGCAGGCTGTGAGGGAAAGAGGGGAACCAGGGAGGAGGGAAAGTTGGGAGAGCAAACAGACTCAGATTTCCGTGTTTTTAAAGACTCCTGCACTGGAGGTGGTCAGTGAGATGGAGGGGCAATACTTAGCCCCTGCTTTTTAGATGAAGAGACTGCAAGCCACCCAGCTAGGAAGTGAGGGTATCTCATGAGCAACTGGAAGCCTGCTCTTCCTTCTGGGACTAGTGTTGCATCCTCTGCATAGGTGCACTATCATGAGGAGCAGAGACCTGGCTCTCCATTCTGCTCAGCTTGGAAAGTGCTAAGGGGGTCAAGAAAAGGGAGAGAAAGAGACGAGGTACTTTCCCCTGAGAAAGAGGCAGATGGGGAGTGAGGCAACGGATTGACTGCAGAACTGTCCACAGGCCTCCAAGGCCCGCAAACCAACAGGAGCCCGAACATGTGATAAAAAAGCCCAGCAAGCACACGCTGTTGTGACACGCGAGGTGGTGTATAAAAATTTAAGAAGTAGTTGTAAAATCGGGGACATAAACTTCAGAAAGCTTCATTTTATTCTAAGCACGGGCAATGAAACATTTCATTCTTCAATAAAGGAAAGCCCACTGATTAACAGTGTTGTTGACAAAAAAAAAAAAGAATTCTATACAATCTATAGCACTTCAAGAAAAAAAAGAAGTTTCTCTAGATTCTCTTTCAAGAACAAGAGACTTTTGTTACTCTCTCAAAGGGTGCTATCTTTTATAAGCTTATTAAGGCAACCTGCTTCTTTTCTTTCTAAGCTTAAGTGAAATTCTGTTATTTCTCTAAGTGGCTCCTCCTGCAGACTGGAGTGGCAGCCTACGACAGGTGTTCACGCTGCTCCCCTCACTTGGTCACTGTGTGAGCCACCTAGGCACCATGGCCTGGCTGCTTTTAAGTAGAGAAGTCCAACTGTGACAAATGAGGAGGTGATTTTGATATGGGTTTGGCATTCCTTTGGGGGTTAAAAACTAACAAACAAACAAAAAAAAAAACACTGATTTCATTTATGCTTGTGACCCAGGGCAGAAAGGGAGGATAAACAAGGTCACTGTCTAGACTAGAGTAAGATATTTCTTTCAATATTACCTTCCTTGAAGGAAGACAGCTGATGAGCGAGCAAGGATTGAGCAGACTTCCCTGTGTACACCCAGTGAGGAGCATCACGCTTGGGGATTTCACAACATCTGCCTCGTCTCCTCCTGGGCCCTTGGGCCCCAGGGACTGAGGGGTGGTTGGGCTCTTATCTTACAAAAGTAGCCAGCATATCCCTAATGCGTACAGTCACCTCTGATCATGGTGATGTGACTCATTTCTTTAATAGTCAAAAGCAATGTTCTTGTGCTCAAATAACCACAACAGGTGAAATCGGGTGGCAGGCCAACTCCGTGGTAAACACATTTCTACTGTTTATTATTCCTTTGGCTGCACTTTCACAGGGTTTGCTTCAAATAGTGGGCTGCTAAGAAGGCATTTACAGAGGAGCAGGCTCAGGAGAGAGTTGGAGTGACTTTGGTAAGTGAGGAAAGGGGGTAAAGAATTGTCAATGGCACACACATTGTTTTTTTTCCCAAACAGAAAACCTGCACGGCGTACAGATGATTACACTGGTCATCATATATCACAATAATGAGCATTTATATACCACTTGGCAGCTTATAAGGGAATTAGAGCAGGTATTATTGTCCTCTTTTAAAGACAAGAAAAGGAGATTCAGAAAGATGAAGTCATTTGTCAAAAGCCACAGAAGTGACAAATGAAAGAACTCACTCCCATGGCTCCTATTCCTGACGTACTATATTGCCTTATGATGCCAAATAGCCAGAGACAGTAGTTTGGCTTTGATTTTTCCTTTTGGTTTAATTGTTTCCTTCGGGAGAGGCTATAGGCACGTTTTCAACTTTGTTCTGCCTCCATGCCATTCCCATGCACAAATTCACTCCCACAAGTAACATTTCCCACAACACGCCATCATTTTCAAGTCTCTCCTCCTCTCCTCCCTTCTCCCACATGTCATCCCCTCATTACAGGCCACAATCTCCACTACCATGTTCCATTGACAGTGTAGTGGGAGGCAGCAGTGAGGTTGAGTTGGGATCCCAGAAAGGCAAAGACTTAGGGGATGGTGCTTGAATAGGGAGTTTCCTAAAAAATGTGGTGGACTGTCCAGTACTCAAGAGGATGCAGGAATGGCAGAGAAGCTTAGTGGTATTAGAAGACTAGGTCAATTACAAGATGGAGAAAGGACAGGTAAGAAATGAGATAGTTGGCAGAAGCAGAAGGGTCTTGAAGTGGAATTTGAGAATTCCCCATTATGACACTCCTTGAAACAGAGCAGTAATTTCTTTCAACAGCTTATACAGATTGCTTCATTATTAAAAGGCAAAGAAATTAAGTTTTAAACTTACCCGTAAGATTTCCTCAACACAGCTTGGATCACTGGGTAGGCTTACCTGAAACAAAATAAACAGGAAAAAAGTTAAACACAATCTAGTTATTCTCAGAGAAGTGTACTGTGTAATAGTTTACTCTATAGGACAAACTGTGAAGAAAAAAATCTAGCTATCAATTTTCTTTTCGTATTAAATATAAAGCAGTAAATACCTGCAAATGGCCAATTTTGTTTTACTTTAATGAAGCAATAAGGCCACATATCAAGGTGCAGAATTGAAGTGACCCCTTGTTTTGTCGCTGATTTGCTGTGGGACACTGAACCATCCTTCCTCCTCTCAGACTTCTCTTTGCTCATCTATCCAAAGAAGGAGCTTGACCTCATGATCTTTAAAGCCTCTTTGACCCTCCAAGACAGTTTAGTATATTATTCATTAAAAAGAAGAGGCCTATATAAAATACTTCTGTAATTAAAATGAGTTATCTTTAAACTTGGGAGTCCAACCAGATGCCTACCATTCATTTTTTTTTTTTTTCTACTGAAACATAATTGATCATATGTATCTATGGGGTACAGCATTGAAAGCAGTACCTGTGTGCAATACGTGATGTTCAAATCAGGATAGCACATTCAACATTACGAATTACAATGATTTATTCTGGCCCTTTACCATTCTTTTGCTAACCCCCGCTCCTCCTTTCCCACCTCTGTTGCTCTCAGTTCTGTTCTCTCCTTTTCAAAGTTCAACGAATTATTGTGATCTATCTTTTTCTTTCTTTCTTTCCTTCCTTCCTTCCTTCCTTCCTTCCTTCCTTCCTTCCTTCTTTCTTTCTTTCTTTCTTTCTTTCTTTCTTTCTTTCTTTTTCTTTCTTCTCTCTCTCTCTCCCACAACCACCCCCCCACACACACACTTATCAGTGAGGACACACAGTTATTTCTGTTTCTGTTCCAAGTATATTTCACTTAACATAATTTTCTCTAAGTTCATCCATGTTGCCGTGAATAGATGCCTACAATTCTTATCCAAAACACTAAGGCTAAATTCCTGTTTAAATAGCATGCTTGCCTTGGCACTTAGATAGAATCTCAGATATACACCCAGTGAATCACATGAGCCATCTTTTCTGGTGTGACACCTTCCTAATCAATAAAAATTCAAGCCACCAGCAGAAACGTACTGAGGACTTACTCCATGAGGGACACATGGCCCTTTCCTCCAGGGGTTCCATAATCAGTGACAGCATGAAGTCAAATACCAAATTAAGACACCAGCTACAAGGCAGTGCATAATGAAGGACTCAAGAGTGGGACAATCATCTGGAGAAATGTCTGCTGATCGCCATGTCACCTGTACAGGTTACGGACCTCTCCCAAATATTCCTAACTCTCTCCTTCACACGTTCACCGTCCCCAGGATTGCAATCTGATCATTTCCACTTCCCTCCTGTTCTGGTAAGGAGAACAGTGGATTTCTTTCATTCACTGTCTTGGGAGATGAAAGGCCAGTCCTATAAAGAGCACTGCCACAGAGTCTATACGCTCCAGCCTTCTTGCCATGGCAGTGAGTTACTCTCTCATTGACTGAAGCATGAACTTAACTACATTTGGGGAAAGGAGAAATAGACCATAGACCAGAATTCCTCAATCTTAAAAAAAAAGGATGTTAAAAAATACAGCAAAATCTTCAATTTGCATTAAAGTCACTACTGTACATACATTAATTTCAACCCATATTTATTGAATATCTTCTACATGTAAGGGTCCTTGCTCCAAGGAGCATAAAATCCTATGTATGGGAGGCAGGCTTAGACTGAGTTACCAATAGCGAGGGGCTGCCCATCCTAGGTTTACTCAGCACGATTACACTTTATGCTTGTTATTGTGGTGTAATTATTGATAGGATCCCCTTCACCCTCACAAACGTCGCAGTTTTGATGACAAAGTTTACAGTCATATATACTCTTTCATATATACCCTACTGATAACAATAATACTCTAATACTGAGTAAAATACATAGTAGAAGCTTTAAAAATTGGCTGGGCGCACTTTATACAGAACCTTAAAAACAGGTTTCAGATAGGGAACCATGGATGATTTGGCCTAGCACAGTTCATTCATTCATTCATTCATTCAACAAATATTTTTTGAGGACCAAGGATTGTGTCACAAGACTGGTGTTAGGCAGAGAAGCAACAGGAAGCAAAAGGAGACATAGTTTCTTCCCTCATTGACTTTGCAGGCTCAGGAGGAAGGCAGATAAGAAAAATCACATAGTTAATGCACAATTCTAACTGGTAAGTGACACAAAGACGACCATCCCGTTGTCACTAGTTCTGCAAAATAAAAGGTCCTATGTCCAAATAAGTGTGGGAAATGCTGCAATCAACATCCCCTCTTGGAGATTCATGATGTAAATCAAAGGCTGTGAGACACCTGTCTAATTGTTTTAATGCAGCACATTCCCAACTTCATTTTTTCTTTCTAATTTAAAAATTGTTTAATTTTTTTTTTATTATGCATGCATATGAGGTATTCTTGACCATGGAATTTTTTTGGTTTTTAGTTTTAGTTGTTTTTTGGTTTTTAATTAATAACTACTGCTATTCCGTGGAATGAGTGTATGCAGAATATACACTGGGAGATGCTGCTCTAACATGTTACAGGATTATAGAATTTAACTGCTATTTCTTAATAGCAAATAAAATCTCATTCCATTGCTCAATGCTCCAGCAGCTGTATTTTCCAAGACAATTCTTGAACTTCTAACAAATACCTCCCCCAAACACAAAGGTCGAAAGGATTGTAACGAAGGCTTAAATCTTAAATATCATTATTACATTGTATTAGTGTGGGATGCTTAAGCTAAAACATGTATCAACCCAGTCTCACTAAAAGGTCTTTGTTCTCCTTTTCCCACACAAAGACACCAATGATAATTTTTAAATTAAACAGCAAAAAATATCAGTGATATGCAGATACAGCAAGGACACTTGCCTATGAGTCAAAAGAGTTGGGTGGGAGTCCTGACCCTACCACTGGGAACAGGAGTTATTAACTTTACCCCCTCTGCATTCCAGTTTTCCCAACTGTAAAATAAAATAAAATAAAGTAAAATAAAATAAAATAAAACAACAATAACAATAATAACAAACCTGTCGCTTTCCAATCTCAGAGTTTCTGTGATCATCGAATAAAATAAGTGGTGTGAATGTGCTTTGTAACCCACAAAGCCCCACACAGTGAATCAAGTTATTACCCCTTGTCCTGTTGTTCTCCTTACTTCTATTATTAAGTCCAGTCTTCTCATCTTTTCAAGCTAAGATCTGACTCACCCTTGCCAACTGCAAATATCATCTCTACACCTAGAATTATAAATGTCTATTTCTTTATGGGAGGAAATGCTGTCAAAATTGAAAGAGTTATGGACTCTGGGGCTTTGCAGCAAATCTAATAATGACTATTGGCGTCGGTAGCAGTCAGGATTGAGACGAACTCCACAGATGAGGGCAGTGAAATAAATATGCATCCACACCCAGTGTTCAGATAGTTTTCTTTTTCAGAAAATACTGGAAGCCAACATTCTCATAAAGTCACCAGCTCCACAAATTCATCTAGTCCAGCCCCACAGCTGTTTTCTCCGCAAGACAACGACATTGGAGCCGCAAGTGCTTTTCCTCCCTGCAAGGGCTTTTTAATTAAGCAGCAAGCATTTCCTGAGTGCCTAGAACAGAGATAGGCGTGGGGGGTTGGTAATACATGTAACTGTGAGGCTTGGCCTCTCTCTCCGAGTTAAATGTCTAGACGAGATGGAAAATAAACAATTAGAGACCCACTGGGACATACATCGTAAGGTAGTCATGACAAGGGTAATAGGATCGTATTCATTCACCCGTCTGCCTATTCATCAGTTCTCCCATTTATTTCTTTAGACAACAAATCCTGATTGAGCTCCCACTGTGCTCAGGATGGTGCCAAGGGGGAGGATTTAAAGACACTGAAGACGACATCATTTCTGCCCTCAAGACTCCACACAAATTGGGGAGGCAACATTTACAGGGGAAACAGACAGTAGCAAACGGGATTTCCCATTTAGGTGCCAGGGAAAGGGTACCTACCGGGTTGACAGACAGAGACATGTCCGAAAGAAGCTCCCAGCCGCCGAGGTCCCCACTGTAGTTCTCACTACATAGGGGAGTGAGAGGCCACGGATCCGACATGGCTGAGAAGTGGTGGGGCCACCTGAGGCCACTTCAGTTTCTCAGCCCCCTGTGGAGCCGCTCCGGGTCACTGTGCACTGGAAGAAAGCTGGACTGAGGCTGGGGCTCTCGGCCCTCTTGCACTCTCTCTCCCTCTCTCTGTCTCTCTCTCTCTCTCTCTCTCTGTGTCTCTCTCTCATGCACACACCCCCACACCTCTCCAAGTAATTGTGGAGGAGTCGCTGGGACAGGTGTGAAAGAAAGACACTGAGGGAGAGAACTAGTGGTGACTCTGGGATTAGAACTGCTGCCCGTCGAGTTGCCAAGCCGCTGCTTAATCCTAGAGCCACCTTCTCCTCTCTTTTAAATCCACTCTTGAGTATTCAGATAGTCCACAAAGCGCAAGTTAGCCACTCAGAGCTGCAGCGTCCTTTCGCATCCCCCTCTCCGCCCCCTCCTCCTGGAGCAGAAAGCAAGCTGCCCGGCACACAGGGGAGCTGTGCTCTCACTCCTGGCCCTGGACGACACCCTAGTGCTGGGCACTGGTGTGGTCTTCTGAGGGCTGGGGAAGGGAGGTGCACTTTGGGCAGGTGAGAAGTTGACTGAGAGCCCTCACAAGTGCCTGCCCTCTGCATGTGATGGTGAAGGCTGCCACCCCATGTAGCCATAGAGAGACCACGCACAGATCCTCTGCCTTGTGATAAATATATACCTTATGAAATGATCAGGGTACCTTTAAATCATCAAATATTCAATTAACTGCAGCAACAATAAATGAATTGCATAGGATGTTTTAATCATTCTGGAATTAATCAGTTTGGAGCATACTTCTTGGCGATTAGAGTAATACAAGATATCAAAAAT